CCTGATGATCAGTGCCCAGCAGTGCCACCCACCATTGCCGCCCATCTGTGCCAAGCAGTGCAGCCCACAAGTGCCCAGCAGTGCCACCCACCTGTGCCCATCAGTGCCATCCACCTGTGCCCAGCAGTGCCACCCATCAGTGCCCAGCAGTGCCGCCAGTCAGTGCCTATCATTGCCGCCAGTCAGTGACATCAGTCAGTGCCACCCATCAGTGCCCATCAGTTCCACCTATCAGTGCCCATGATTGTTGCATATCAGTGCCTGTCAGTGCTGCCTATCAGTGCCCATCAGTGCTGCTTATCAGTGCAGCCTCATCAACACACATCAGTGAAGGAAAAAAATTACCTGTTTGCAAAATTTTATAATAGAAACAAAGAAAAAAAATTTTTTTCAACATTTTTGCTATTTTTTTGTTTATAGTGCAAAAAATAAAACACCCAGCAGCAAGTACATACCATCAAAATAAAGCTCTATTTGTGTGAAAAAAATAAAAAAAAATTCATATGGGTGCAGTGTTGCATGACCGCACAATTGTCACTCAAAGTGCAACAGCGTTGAAAGCTGAAAAATGGCCTGGGCAGGAAGGGGGTATAAGTGCCTGGTAGGCAAGTGGTTAACGGTCTCTGGACTGGCCGTGACCTGTGAGCCATCTATCAATAATAGGACACACTTTCACTTACTACTGCGTGTAGTACCGCCACATTAGCATCCCTTTTATACCTAAAAAATTTAAAGTCCCAGTTTGACTTGAACACCCTTCGTATGTCATATTTACTTGTTTTAAACTTTTTTTTTTACGTTTCTTCAGTTACTTCCTGGTTTCCAAGTCTAGGCAAATGATGTCATACACCCCAGGAATCTTTGGGGAAGAGGGGTTTTCTCAGCTAAGCGTACCCTCCTGTCTGTGTGCCTGACCTAAGGGCAGATGGATTCCAGGAAGTAAATGCTACATAAATCATCTGCCCTTACTCAAGATGCCCATGGCCAGAAATGCTAGAGGAGTGTTTTTCAAAGTGAGTTTTCAGTAAAATAAAGCATGGAGACATGGACGGATGGGGGAGTTTGCTTTTAAATATTAAAAATGAATTAAATAGCATTTTGGGTTTGTGGTGCTCAGATGCAGTGTAATTCCACTTCACAGTGGTTATAAAGGCAAGTTTTTTTTACTTTACTTCATTCTATGCAGTAAGTTAAAAAAACGTTCTGCAGGCAGCTTCCCCAAAAGCCCCCCCCCCCCCTCCAAATACATGCAGATCTCAATCCAGCAAAGTGCACGTGAACGCCAAGGCTCTCTCACTCCTTATTGGCTCAGATACAGCAGCAGGAGTCATTGGGGTCAAGGTCCAGCCCCATTCTTATCGACAAACAGATTGGGTTCGGGAGCAAGCATGCACGAGTGCCCCCATAGCAAGCAGATTGTTATAAAGGCACTCAGTGGTAGGGGAGCAGGAGCACCGGTGGGGGACCAGAGAAGAAAAAGATCGAGGCTGGTAAGTACCGTGTAACATGTTTGTTATTTAAATAGGGAAAAAAATCAAGTGTTACTAAACCCAGGACCCTGCATCCACTATTTCCGGTCTCCCACAGTACACAGAACATAGAAATGCATTTATTTTAGTAAATATAAGCTGCTAAGTGCCTTTTCTCATCAGCAGTTAGAGCAGTCTTGTGATCTCTATCAGTGTTCAGCCAAGCACTAGCTAAAGCTTGTAGGAGGAGTTTTCTTTCTGCTCTAGGAGGATATGAAACCCTTGACCTCTGTCTGATCAGTGCTAATTGGCCCTGTGCTGATCACATGCACTCTCCCAAGAAAAAAAAAAAAACCTCTTTAGCAATACACACCAAACTGAGCATGTGCACAATGCCTACTGTTCAGTCTATCTTATCAGGAGATAAGAGATGGTCACTTGAAAAAGGAAAGGAACAGAGAAGAAAGGATCAAACTACCTGTTTACACAATGCAGAGGATTAACCCCTTAGGTTCCACAGTGAGTATAATGAGCATGTTTTATTGCATATACAGACTGATTGTACTGTTGTGGGTTTAGTAACACTTTAATGTCACTTTAAGCTTTTAAATGTTTTCCATATTCCCATAGGCACTGAATTTGGTTTTGCATCCCAGTTATTTAAGAGTACACATACCAGACTGATATAGCAGACCGAATACAACAAATTGGCAGTGCATCAGAAATTTGGGGCATCTTGGGATTGGAGTTTTCTCCTTTGAACGCTAACTTCAAAGAGACAAACAGTAACATTCCACGTTGTAGCCAGTAGTCACTGCTTCTGAAGGGCTGTCTAATGTTACAAATGTCTGTTGCTTTCAGCCCTGTAATTACTAGAACTGCATATCCCACTGGACTGGACAGTGGAGTGTGTCTGAATATATTGTACAATATGCCAGATTTCTTCATTACACGGGGACTGCCCAGCAGATAGAAGGAAGCTAGACATACTAAAAGCAGAACATATGGCTAAGTGGGGGACATAAAGGGGGCTCTTCATTTACACCACGATTACATTTCAGGAAATGCACATGTAATTTCAATCTTGTATTTTTAAACAGCTGTTTTCCATTAAAAAAAAATGATAACAGCTATACTCACATTCCATGTGCATAATTTTGACCCCACTTAAATATTATGGATGTGAACGATGGGTCCGGACATAAGCGAAATACCTTCAATCTATCAGTCTATGATTAAAATGGCAATAAATTTATATAAAAAACTGTTACCAACACAAGTGTAGATCATAGAAATGGTATTGGAATCCCAAGACCTTCTGCTCTCTAGTTCCTGTGTCACCTCCTCCCATGCTCGCCTCCAGGACTTCTCTCGAGCTTTTCCCATCCTATGGAACTCCCTACCCAATCTGTCTGGCTGTCTCCTAATCTATCCACCTTTAGACGATCCCTGAAAACCTTTCTTTTTAAAGAAGCCTATTCTGCTTCTACCTAGTAAACTGCCAATTATTTCCTCGATCATCTCATCCCCCCCACAGCTATTACCTTTTGTATCACTCAAACCTTCCTCCTAGATTGTAAGCTCCCAGGAGCAGGGTCCTCTGTTACCTCTTGTACCAAATTGTATTGTAACTGTAATGTCTACCTTCATTTAGTAAAGTGCTGTGCAGACTGTTGGTGCTATATAAATCCTGTATAATAATAACTAGAAAAGCTACAATTTCTGGGGAAATTGTGTGAAGTGTTCTTGCCTCCACCAGTAGTCTACAACTGGAGTGGGCAGAGTAACTGGGTGGAGTGGCTTGAGTAACTGTTGTGTAGTTGGAGTGGCTGGAGTAACTGTGGAAAGGTTGGACTGGGCAGAGTAACTTTATGGAGTGGGCAGAGTAACTGTGTGGAGTGTTTGGAGTGAGTAAAGATAGTAAACATTACACTAACCAATTGATTGATCAAATTTAAAAAGTGCACATGGCAAGCTTGATAGAGTGAGAAATGCATTTCAACTTTTAATTATTTATATAGCACATTGAAACACCTCAAATACTCTCTACTGTAGAAAACCTATTTCCAAACCTTTAACCAGAAGCCGGCCAAACTGTCACAAATTCAAAATTAGATTTCAAATAGGGCAGAGAAGAGCGGTTAAAAACAAACTGCTCCAAATTGTTCACTTCACTGGCGTCTTCAAATGGTCGTAGTTTTAAGAACTATAAATCCTACAGCGAAGAGCTTTATATTGTGAGAATCACAAGACCCAGACCTACATTTTGATGCATAGTATGTCTCTGAAATATTAAAAATGAAGGCACACTTGCAGTTTACAAATTGCCCTTCAAATTTGAGGTGGCTAGAGTGGAGTTTCAATGAATGTCAATGGGCGGCGTGTGACTTGCAAACAAATGGTCATATTGTGCAAACTATCAGGACCATGGCTTAGCCGTGGACATTTTTAGTGGCAGCAGGGATAGCTGAATGTTTTGATATATGATTTGTGTAGATGGGCTTGAAAATGAGGGAGTGATGGCAGTTTAGAAATCATATCCTGATTTTTCAGCTCACACTCTAGCTTTTGTCAGCTTCCACTCTAGTTTTGAACATTCCGCCATTCATTCCTATGGGACCAATTTCACCACAAAAACGCAGATATTTCGTGAAACATTCGGCAAAACGTTCCACAAAGTAATAGCACACCAATCGGGAACAATCCGCACGTTTCGATATATTACTGTCTATGTAGTGTAAAAACTGTGGGAGGAGTTAGGGTGGTAAATTTGGCTATAATAAAAGAATATATATGTGAGATAACAGTAAGTGGTCTTGCCATGCAAGAACACTTAATAATCACCACAGGTAAAATACATTACATTACTGGATGTCTGCTAAGATGGGAAACGGTGTCTAGGTACAAGTGATGATTCCAGGGTATACCTGGAAAGGAGACAAGGTGCAGTATAGTGGAAAGGAGACAATGGAGTGCAGGTGATGTCTTGGCACAGTCTCGTACTTTATCACTGCCAGCGCAGCAGACAAGCATTGTTCTGCACACAGTATCACCTGTATATTTCATGCTGAATCAGGCCATAGTGCTCAAACATTAGGAAGAGGACATTATATTAAATTTGCATTTTCCAAAAAAGCACATAAAGGAAGAGAACCCCCTGTAAGCCTAAATGTCAGCATAAGTGACAAGAAATTATATTCTTATTCTCCAAAAATATCCCGTACGTATCCACTACTTAAAGTCACCGGTCACACTGCTGTGCAATTGCAGCGTGATCGCAGTTGCGATTTCTGAAGACTTTATTGCTACTTGTGATGATTTTCAAAGCTTTCTTGCAATTTGCAGTGCGATTTCCATTTTATTCTATGTATGTAAAATTACAAAACTGCAGAAAAAATAATGCAAGAACTACTTTAGAAATCATGCTGCAGCATATCGCAAATGGTAAGACACTGACATTCACACTCATTAGATGTGATTTCTGAAATCACATCAGTATGACTGGACACTTAGTGTTACTAAACCCACAACAGTAAAATCAGTCTGCTTGTTATACCCACTGTGGAACTAGGGGTTAATCCTCCACATTGTGTAAAAAGGCTCTTTGATCCTGCCTTCTCTGATCTTCCCCTTCTTTTACTGTCCCCAGTCCATCTGCCATAGTACAGAGCAGAGGTGGAAAGTCTGCACATGCCCTGTTCGGTGTGTATTGCTAAGAGAGTTTTTTTTTTTTTCTTTGGGAGGGTGCATGTGATCAGCACAGGACCAATCAGCACTGTCTAGACAGAGGGTCAGGGGTTATGCAGGTTCATAGGATATTCAAATGAGAATGAAAGCTGTGCATTTTGCACATGCTCAGTTTGGTGTTTATTGCTAAAGAGGTTTTTTTTTTCTTAAAAGAGAGCATGTGATCAGCACAGGGCCAATTAGCACTGGTCAGACAGGTCAAGGGTTTCATATCCTCCTAGAGCAGAAAGAAAATTCCTCCTACAAGCTTTAACCAGTGCTCAGCCAGACACTGACAGAAGTCACAAGACTGACTGCTGATGAGAAAAGATATTTAGCAGTTTATATTTACTAAAATAATTGCATTTCCATGTTTTGTGTACTGTGCGAAACCAGATATAGTGAATGCAGTGTACTGGGTTTAGTAACACTTTAATGCCTCTGCAATCTACTTTTCATGTAAGCATTACGGTGTTTTAATGCTTCCTTGCGATGTCCTCTGCGAGCTTCCGAACCTCTCCTTTTTCCACTCATTTCTATTTGTGTGGAGCAGGCAGTGAATGTTGCCTGCGGTCATGTTCACTGCTCTGTGCACATTTCACATCCACAATCCATACAGTCCATCGTCCCCAGTCCATCTCCAGAGAGAACAATAGAGGATGGCTTTGTCCTTACATAAGAGGGAACACAGAGAATGAACGTAACCACAGGAAGTTGCATTGCAGCAGCAAAAACAAAGGAATTTGAAAATCTGGAGGGGGCTGAGAGCAAAAGGTACCTTTTGAATTAAGAATAGATACTTGAGTAGATTTTTTTTCAAGCCAGATTTTAGTGACACTTTAAAGAATACCTATGCTGACTTAAAAAGGCAACTGTTTATCGATAAAATTGCAAAACTGCCTATTTTTCGAATTGAAGTGCATTGGCAATATGCTACAATGCTATAATAACCACTTGCCCCTCTTCAAGACCAGGCCATTTCTTGAAATATGGTGCTGTGTTACTCTAACTGACAATTGTGCAGTCATGCAATGCTATACATAAATTAAATTTATGTAATTTTTTCCACAAATAGAGCTTTCTTTTGGTAGTATTTGATCACCTCTGCAATGTTTTTAGTTTTTTATGTTGTTTATGCTATAAACAAAAAAGACCACCAATTAAAAAAAAAAATAATATATACAGTGGGGATCGAAAGTTTGGGCACCCCAGCTAAAAATTTGTACTAATGTGCATAAAGAAGCCAAGGAAAGATGGAAAAATCTCCAAAAGGCATCAAATTACAGATTAAACATTCTTATAATATGTCAACAAAAGTTAGATTTTATTTCCATCATTTACACTTTCATAATAACAGAAAACAAAAAAAAATGGCGTCTGCAAAAGTTTGGGCACCCTGCAGAGTTAATATCTTGTACTGCCCCGTTTGGCAAGTATCACAGCTTGTAAACGCTTTTTGTAGCCAGCCAAGAGTCTTTCAATTCTTGTTTGAGGTATCTTTGCCCATTCTTCCTTACAAAAGTCTTCCAGTTCTTTGAGATTTCTGGGCTGTCTGTCACGCACTGCTCTTTTCAGGTCTATCCATAGATTTTCAATTATGTTGAGGTCAGGAGATTGTGAAGGCCATGGCAAAACCTTCAGTTTACGCCTCTTGATGTAATCCCCTGTGGATTTTGAGGTGTGTTTAGGATCATTATCCATTTGTAGAAGCCATCCTCTCTTTAACTTCAGCTTTTTCACAGATGGCATCAAGTTACTATCCAAAATTTGCTGAAATTTTATTGAATCCATTTTTCCATCTACTCGTGAGATGTTCCCTGTGCCGCTGGCTGCAACACAACCCCAAAGCATGATTGATCCAACCCCATGCTTAACAGTTGGACAGAGGTTCTTTTCATTAAATTCTGTGCCCTTCTTCTTCCAAACGTACCTTTGCTCATTGCTGCCAAAAAGTTCAATTTTAACTTCATTGGTCCACAGAACTTGTTTCCAAAATGCTTTAGGCTTGTCTATATGTTCATTTGCAAAGTTCAAACGATGATTTTTGTGATGAGGACGTAGAAGAGGTTTTCTTCTGATGACTCTTCCATGAAGACCATATTTGTACAAGTATCTCTTTATAGTGGAATAGTGTACCACAACTCCAGTGTCTGCCAGATCTTTCTGGAGGGATCGTGCAGTCAAACGTGGGTTTTGAATTGTTTTTCTCACCATCCTGCGAGCTGTTCTGTCTGATATTTTTCTTGGTCTTCCAGATCTTGCTTTAACTTCCACTGTTCCTGATGACTGCCATTTCTTAATTACATTCCGAACAGAGGATATTGACATCTGAAAACGCTTTGCTATCTTCTTATAGCCTTCTCCAGCTTTGTGAGCGTCAACTATTTTCAGTTTCATTTTTTAGACAACTGCTTCGAAGAACCCATGGTGCTGATTGTTGGGGCAAGGTCAGATGAGTCTGGGCATTTAAAACCTTTGAGATTGACATCACCTGGTCTTCCCAGACGATGATTGAGAACAATCCATGACACTGGCAGGTCTCAGCTTGGCAAAGTGGGCAGTGCATGCTATAAATTCTGCAGGGTGCCCAAACTTTTGCAGAAGCCATTTTTTGGTTTCCTGTTATTTTGAAAGTGTAAATGATGGAAATAAAATCTAACTTTTGTTGACATAATATAAGAATGTCTAATCTGTGATTTGATGCCTTTTGGAGATTTTTCCATCTTTCCTTGGCTTCTTTATGCACATTAATACAAATTTTTATCTGGGGTGCCCAAACTTTCGATCCCCACTGTATATATACATATACATGACTTTTTACTATAAAACATATCCAATAGAAAAACAATTTTTCATAAATTTAGGCCAAAATATATTCTGCTACATGTGTTTTGTATAACAAAATGCCAATAAGTGAATATTAATTGGTTTACATGAAAGTTATAGTGTCTACAAACAGCGGTATGTATACTAGAATTTTTATGTATTTCATTTATACTAGTACTGGCAGTATTCGGTGACTTATGGTGGGACTGCAGTGGGCATTCTGACACTAACTGACATTGGGTGGGAACTGACTAACTGCCACTGACATCTCCAGTGACAATAATACAGTGATCAGTGCTAATAAAAAGCACTGACACTGTACTAATGACACTGGGCAGGAAGGGGTTAACATCTGGGGGGATCAAAGGGTTAACTGTGTGCTGTTTTGTGCTTACCTTGTAATGTTTCACTAGGGGATGTGAAAGAAAGATCTCTCCCCTGTCAGCTGCTCCACTGATCATCAAGTCACGGCCATAAATCACTGCCAGGGACCGGATAATTGACATTGTTGGGAGCCAATGACAGCTCAGGTAGAGCGGCGCGAGCACGCACGCCCCTATCTGGAAATGCAAAATCACGTATATATACGTGATTTTGCACAGCACGGCCGTCCTGTAGCAGTACATATGCTATGGGGCGGTCAGCAAGTGGATAATAAAGCAGGACTTTCAGTAAATGAAATATCTGCTTCTATTGTAGATTCTGTACTGTAGGTAATCACTTCCTTCAGCATACCATGTCAGCAATACGTTCCTTACCTGCCTTGCTTAAAGTGATACTAAAGGCAATTTTTTATTAAACAACAAACATGTCATACTTACCTGCTCTGTGCAATGGTTTCACACACACAGCAGCCCCGATTCTCCTCTTCTCGGGTCCTCTACAGACGCTCCGGGCTCCTCCCTCCCTCTGAATGCCCCCATAACAAGCCAATTGCAGGGCCACTCATGCATGCTCGATCCCAAGCCCCACTCTGTGTGTTCATAGGTACACAGATTGTGGCTTTTCCCCTGCTCCCTTTTCATTGGCTGAGATTGTCTCTGAGCCAAGGGAGAGAACTGGGAGAGCTGCTGTTCTCTTGCACATTACTAGATTGAGATTGGGCTCAGGTAAGTACTGGGGGGGGGGAGCTGCACACAGAAGGTTTTTTATCTTCATGCATAGACACCAGTCTTTTTATATTCACAGCCACAATGTCCTGTGCCTACATAAGAATTTCCACAGTTATGCCTGTAGTTATACTGTCTGCCATATATATGATGTACGATCAATCAAGAAAAATTAGAGAAATGACAAACCAAAGTTTTATTTTATAACAAAAGCACGAGAGAGGGGGAATTGAGCAAGTGGAGTGTATAATACCATTATATTTAACTGCTTCCCCTCCACCCTATAGCAAAAATACTGCTACAGGGCGGCAGGGGTGCGCAAAATCATGTAGATATACGTGATTTTGCATTGCTGGGTAGGGGGCCCGCACGTGCCGCGTGCGTGCCCTACCTGTGCCGCCATTCGCGACCTCGGCTGTCAATCACCTGTTCCCAGCCAGTGATTACTTGCCGGCACCCGGTGATCGCCGATCTCCACGGGGTGGGAGAGACCTGTGTATAAACCACACAGATCTCTCCCCTGTCACCTGGTGCACACTGCTTTGTATGGCTCTGCATAGCAGAGCCATAAAAAACAGTGTGCTTGCAGTGAAGCACACACACAGCCAGCATAGTGAAACAGCACACAGTTAACCCTTTGATTCCCCCAGATGTTAACCCCTTCCTGCCCAGTGTCATTAGCACAGTGTTAGTGCTTTTTATTAGCACTGATCACTATATTGGTGTCACTGGAGATGACACCTTCCTGACCCCTAAGGAAGATCAGATTGTCCCTGAATCCTCAGACTAGGGTGCCCAGTTCATCTCCATTCTGACACCCCAGTGTCATAATGCCCATCACAGTCTCGCTATAAGTCGCTGATCGCCGCCATTACTAGTAGAATTTTTTTTTTTTTAAATAAAGTGTATATACTGCCAATTGTAAACGCTATAACGTTTACGTAAACCAATTCATTTACAGGTATTGGGATTTTTTTTTTTAGCAAAGACATGCAGCAGAATACATTTTGGCCTAAATTTATGAGGAAATTTTATTTTTTATATTTTTTTATTGGACATGTTTAATAGCAAAAATTCAAAAATATAGTTTTTTTCTCAAAATTGTCGGTCTTTTCTGTTTATAGCCCAAAAAATAAAAAACACATAGGCAATCAAATACCACCAAAAGAAAGCTCTATTTGTGGGGAAAAAAAGGACATACATTTAATTTGGGTGCAGCATTGCATGACCGCGCAATTGTCAGTTAAAGTAACGCAGCGCCGTAACGCAAAAAATGGCCTGGTCAGGAAGGGGGTAAATCCTCAGGAGGGCAAGAGGTTTTTAATGAAAGACTTTAGAAGGCACAGAGAAAATATTTCACTATACCTCTCCCCTTATGACAACGATGGCTCTCAGTTTAGCTCATACACATTTCTCTCTGAAGATTTTCCTCTGCTATGTGTTTATCCAACACTTCTTCACTGTGGCTGTAATGCATTTTTTAATTGTGAAGCGTAGACTGAGCCGCATCAATATATAAATAAAAAATAAAGTGCACATGCTCAGCTCAGTCTGTCAATACATGAACAGCTTGAGTAATCCCTTCACAGCTGCTCCAATTAAGTTCAGACCTGCAGAGCTGAGAAACTGTGTCGTTACAAAGCGTGCCTGCAGATATGTTGTTTACACGTCTCGGTTAACCGACAGCAATCGTAGTGCGTTCTGACAGGGGATCATACACCTCCCAGCAGAAGCACAATCAAATTCTCCAGTTCAAAGACAGGGCCTCAAGTTAGAATTCTATGCCTAAGAAAGCTGCGTTTTTTTTAGTATTTTTTTTTTAGTTATCATTTGGTAGGTGGCACATACTCCTTACCTGTTCTAAATATATTGAAATAATGTGCTGAGCACTCTTCGGCTCACATACACGTGTCTGAGCCCTGTACAGCATGAAGAGCCCATTGTTTACCCCAGCACTCAGCTGCATGAAGGCAGCCCATATTAGTGAATGGACACCCATCAGCTATACTGACTTGCCCACATGAGTCTGACAACTACGCAGGGACAGGTGCAAAGACTCCGACACCCAGGGCCATGTACCTGTCAAACTTGGCTGTGCGGGTAAGTTCGTACAGCCAATGTAAGTAAATTCCTCCTAGATTGTAAGCTCCAAAGAGCAGGGCCCTCAATCCCCTCATGTTTTGCATTCTATTGGTATTGTTCTGTCACATGTTCTGTCCCCCTTTGTAATGTACAGCGCTGAGCGAACTATTGGCGCTTTATAAATACTGTATAATAATAATAATAATAATAATTCACTAATATGGGCTGTCTGCAGGCAGCTCAGCGCTGGGAGAAAAAAGTAAACAAAGGGATCTTCACACTGCAGGGGTGAGCCTTTAGGGTCCTTTCACACGGGCAGACACTGCCAAGCAGATCTCTCTGCTCAGCAGGGGATCTGTCCGCTGATCCCCGCTGAGCAAGCATATGACAGCTCCGTGGCCGCTCTGCTTGTGCAGAGCAGACAAAGTCATAGCCCGCTGTTCTCTATGGGACAGTCAGATGTAAATGACCGCCTGTCCATTTACATTTGCCTGTTATCTGACCTGATCCACTAGATTGGATGGGGAACAGATCCCCCGCCCAACTGTTTTTAGTGGATCAGATGCAGGTGGGTGTAAATGGACATCCACTTCCTCATAGAGAGCAATAGGTGGTCCGATCAAGTCTGCCTGAAAAAAACCCAGACAGGCTGACCCGATCGGTCCACCCGTGTGAAAGGGCCCTTCGACCACATAACATCCTTTAAGTGCAGCTGAATAAAAATCACAACTCTTAATTTGTAAAGACCATTTAAAACAATTCTTGACAAGTGGAATAATAAGGGCCCGTTCACAAAGGCCTGCATGCCAAAAAAATCCATTTTAATACTGGTACCCATTCTGTGCCAACAGTGGGGTGAAGTGCTTTGCGTTGTTATAACACAAGGCATTGTTTACATTTTTTGTTTCAAACTTTATTGAAATGTCTCTCTGTCATTCATGTCTTCAACCCCTTCACGCCGTCCACACGCAAATGTGCGGCATCCCAGCGTCTGGGCCTAGATGCCGAAAGGCCGCACATTTGCATTCATGTAGCAAAAAACATATGTGCTGAGAGCGCGCGCCCTGCGCGCTCCCGGCACACATGTGAGGTACTCACGAAAAGGTCCCGGTCCGCTCTTTCGATCGGGACCTTTCCCGATCATGTGACCAGCCGTGACGTGACGCCGGCCACATGACACTAAGCCACGCCATGTCCCGCCACCTCCCGGCGCAGGAACTCCTCTTCACGCCAGGACGATCCGGCGTGAAGGGGTTAATAAAACATCTGTCATTCATGTCTATCTAATGTGGCAGAGGTCTGGTGTTGTTTAGGATATCTGGATTTTTGCACGTATTATTATTATTATACAGGATTTACATAGCGCCAACAGTTTGCTAAGCGCTTTACAATATAGTGGGAGACAATACAGCAACAATACAGTTCAATACAAGAAAGATAGTAGCAGGGGCGGACTGACAACTCATGGGGCCCCCGGACTATAGGGGATCATGGGGCCCCTGTGTCCTTGCCCACACTCAAAGCCTATAAAAAAGGTACCAGGGGCATTTCATGGGGCCCCCTACTGACCCCGGGCCCTCGGGCAGTGCCCGAGTGCTCGAATGGTCAGTCCACCCCTGGATAGGAGGGCCCTGTAGCACAACAGAGTTGTAGTTTGAACAGAGTATATAGAAAACTATATAGAAAGCTAATTTCTGTGCAGAAATTATTGCAGCAGTGTCTAACATATTTTCTTTCATGCAAAACCTCAAAGTATGGTGTACCAGGTCCATTTGAGTACCGGGAAAACGCTTTGTATGTATTTTTCATGATGAAAAAAGGCTCTGGACAGCATCTGGAAATGGAAGAGTTAAAAAAAAATTCCAAACGCAAATGCTTATGAATGCGGTTACCCACATTTACACGAGTTTACAAGCATTTACAAGCGTTTGGAGTTTGAAACGCTGATAAAATCTACTCCTGAACGCAAGTTTGGTGTGTTCAAAAAAATGACTGTAAACTCAACGACCTGTAAACGACTATGTGTACATGGACACATAGGAAAACATTAGAGAGAGTTCAGGGGCTGCTGAAAAAAACAAAGAAAAGCTCCTGAACGTGACTTTAGCAGCACATGAGTGTACATGAGCCCTAAGACAAATCTGTTGTCTTATATCATGAAGGAGGACGGATGAAAGAATGAACAGTATGTGTTTCAATATCTATTTATCTATCTATCTATCTATCTATATATATATATATATATATATATATATATATACACCGTGTTCCAAAATATTATGCAAATTCTATTTAAGTGTCACAAAGATTAAATATTTTGTTTTTCAGTTTAACTCATGGATGGCATTGTGTCTCAGGGCTCTTTTGATCACTGAAAACAATCTCGGACACCTGTGATAATTAGATTTGCAGGTGAGCCCAATTTAAGGAAAAACTACTAAAGGAGGGTGTTCCACATTATTAAGCAGAGCACCATTTTCAAGCAATATGGGGAAGAAAAAGGATCTCTCTGCTGCCGAAAAAAGTGAAATAGTTCAATGCCTTGGACAAGGTATGAAAACATTAGATATTTCAGGAAAACCTATGCGTGATCTTTGCACTATTAAGAGATTTGTGGCTGATTCAGAGCACAGACGGGTTCGTGCAGATAAAGGCACATTGAGGAAGATTTCTGCCAGATCCATGCATCGGATCAAGAGAGCAGCTGCTAAAATACCATTACATAGCAGCAAACAGATATTTGAAGCTGCTGGTGCCTCTGGAGTCCCACGGACATCAAGGTGTAGAGCCCTCCAGAGTCGTGCAACTGTGCATAAACATTCTATTCGGCCACCACTAACCAATGCTCACAAGCAGAAACGGCTGCATTGGGCAGAAAAATACATGAAGACTAATTTTCAAACAGTCCTGTTCACTAATGTGTGCTGTGCAACCCTGGATGGTCCAGATGGATAGAGTAGTGGATGGTTGGTGGATGGCCACCCTGTTCCAACAAGGCTGCGACGTCAGCAAGGCAGTGGTGGAGTCATGTTTGGGGCCGAAATCATGGGAACAGAGCTGGTCGGCCCCTTTAGGGTCCCCGAAGGTGTAAAGATGACCTCTGAAAGTATGTGGAGTTTATGACTGACCACTTTCTTCCCTGGTACAGAAGGAAGAACTATGCTTTCCGTAATAAAATCATCTTCATGCATGACAATGCACCATCTCATGCTGCAAATAATACCTCTGCATCAATGGCTGTTATGGGGATAAAAAGAGAGAAAATCATGGTGTGGCCTCCATCCTCCCCTGACCTCAATCCTATTGAGAACCTTTGGAGCATCCTCAAGCAAAAGATCTATGAGGGTGGGAGGCAGTTTACATCCAAACAGCAGCTCTGGGAGGCTATTCTGGCATCTTGCAAACAAATTCAAGCAGAAACTGTCCAAAAACTCACAAGTTCAATGGATGCAAGACTTGTGAAGCTGCTATCAAATAAGGGGT